GCAAAATAGCTTAGATATCACACCTTAATGTTAATAATATGTTGAAGCTCCTTTGTTTGGTATACATTCGTTAAGTCGTCGCGGCATTGATTGTGTTAGGTGATTGATGTCTTCTTGGTGTATTGTATCCCAATCCATCTAAATTTGATTTCGTAGAGCCTCAAATGATTGTGGAGGGTGCGGTGAATTTTGCAACCTTCTTCCCATCATGTCCCGTACATATTCGATGGAGGAAAGGTCTCAAGATCGAGGAGGCTAAAAAGTCTAAACTAACACGTGCAACATCAGGTCGTGCATTTTGTGTGTGTTTTTATCAAAATTCAATAAATAATTCTGGGTGTTGCATTTTATATGTCACTTAGTATATAAGTCTATTAACTAACAGCAGGTTCAGATTGTACAGTATAAGGTAGACTGGCTTTTGCTTCAATTTGACTATCAATTGAGTCTGGAACCGTATTTTCTAGACTAGATTTGGTTTTTGTTGATCATCCCGCTACTATGTACCGAATCCTTAAAATTTAAAAAGTGAGCATTTGTCATAAATTGGCCCAAGATTTTCGAAGGATAGGTGTTTTTTTAAATTGTAAGCTTACAAGGTTGACGAGTTGAATCTGCAACTGCTGTTGATCAATATTTATTTGCTTATTATTTGTTGGTAAGGATGTGCTCGTATTATACTTTCTAAGGCGGATTTAAAAGCTGACGCAAATACGTACAATCTGGAACAAAAACCAACTGCACGCATTTAGTAGAAACCCACCAACCATCAGTGAAGTATAAGCTATTTACTGGAAAGGTTGAGTCCTATATAAAAATTAAACAAATGCATCGGAAAGTTCCTCCTGCGGAAAATACCGTTAAACATTTGCTTAGGTCTTTGCTACTCGGATAAATAGCCCTGGTATTAAGCATGAAACAAACATGCAAATCATACGTTGTCGTCAAGTATACAGTAGGTAGGGCTGGAGCATTTGCCGCCATTTCGATAAACGCTTTTGATCGAAAACCTTCAAAACTCTCGCTCTTATGTAAAAAAGTGATCGAAAACAATACTGCAAGGGAATAAAATTGTTCATCATTTTGCTTATGTGAAATTTGTCGTATGGTCAAAATATTAGTGAATGTATGTATAGTATAAAACACTATTTCTGTAGAGAATATAATTTGCTAATTTGTCTACGTATTAACTTATAATCTTTCTCGTTCTTCATTATCTATGTTCAAAAATACCATGTTAAAGTGAATGTTTCTCTATTACTGCGGGCAACTATGGATCATCTAATATTTTTTGATAACTTGTGAGATTTTCATTATCAAGACAAAGTCACTCACTCCCATCAGTCTGTCTAATGGCCATTTTGTCACTATGTAATTTCAGTAACTATTGCGATTTGAGTGGAAGGTGATGCAGGTTTATGGCACTACCTTCTTTCCCTTAAAATCGCTGCATTGGTCTCTGAGGTTGCACAGTGGCAAAATGCCCAATATGCAGACTGATGGAAGTGAGTGACTCGCATTTTCATGATGAAGATATGATTAACTGTCCGACAGTATTACATTTTCCATACTTACACGCCGCAAAAAAATTTACTCTAAAATGGTATACTTGATCATAATGACTCATCGAGTAACCACAGGTGGAAAATTATTGTATACTGGCGCGCGGACAACCTACGTAGAGTGAGACTGTTTTGAGACGAATTTTTGACTTTCGCTCGTTATACTTGAAGAACCGTCAAGGAATCGAAAACACAACAAAAATTATAGTATAGGTCTAGGCAGTCAGTTTAGCCAAAATAAGCAAAAAATAATTAGTTCTCCCGGCCTATCATGACGCAAATTAAAACATCATTAGGAAGCAATAATCTAACAATATCACCAAAAAATTTCCTGTCGTCAAAACTGTGGAAAAATTCCCATTTGCCGAGTGTCTAATGCCAGCCTGTAGTAAAATCAGTTCATGCCATCGAGATATAATACAACTGTAAATCATGAGATATTCACCACATGGTATTCCTAATTAAAATAAAATACGTTTCATTCTTTTATAATTTTTTAGAACAATATCATCATTTCTTTTAGTGCTAATATACTCTAGCTTGAAAACAAAGCCGTTGCGGACCTATGTTCATATGGAAATTTCGTCTTCAAATTGACCAAGGATTCGTTGGTTAAAGTTTGCCTACGTACTTTATTAACACCCTGTATATATATATATCATTTAAATTCAACTTTACTTTTTAAAAAATTTATTTGAGAACAATAACTACTGTCCGTTACAAACGTTTACAATTACTTGACTTGACGGAGTCTAACCGGGTATTCAACTACATGAAATGGGCGCAAGGCCTATTTATACTCTTGGTGTGCTTACAAAGCACTTCTAGAAAATAAAGGTAAACAACGAGTTAGCGAGAAGTCGTTATCTGTTGCTGAGCTAGCGTCTGGTGCAACATTGTATGGAATAGTAAGTCCATTGTTTTGAGTGCATATAACAACTTCCCCCTATTACAAAAAGTTGTTGCCATGCGACAACTTTTGACAAAATTAGAAAAGTGTAAAAGATGTAAAAATTCAAAAATGTTAAAATGTAGAAATGTAAAATTGTAAACATTGTAAAATATAAAAATATAAAAGTAGGACTAATAAAATTGCAAAATACAAATTGCAAAATAACATCAGAAAATATAGATTCTGAAAAATAAAATTGTTAGCATAAACAAGTAAAAGCTGAAACAAAACGTTAAAAGCAAGGCGTACAAAAATGTCATTAAAAATGAAAAGGAAAATTGATTTTTCACAGTTGGAACTTCTCACTCACTGAACACTACTGTAGTTCAATTTCTTCTTCATGGGGTTGGATGGTTGGTCTTCGACGCGGAAAAAGTCTGGGGATGTATCTGACTTTCGACGTTCCTGGTGACGGTCCATCAGCTGGGTAATTTGATGCACAAATACTGAGTGGTCGGCGTTTTCTGCACTTGCAGAAGATGTAGAGGGCTAAGATGACAGCTAGCAGGGTTATGACGACGTACGTAAACCAGGAGATATGTCGTGAAACAAAAGGCTCATTAATAAGTTTATCAAGTTGTTCAGAATACTGGTTCAACTTGTGGTTGGCGATCTCTAGCTCTTCTGTATCGTTCTTGGTTAGCTTGATCGGTTTCAGGTTCGGCAAATTTTGTTTATCAGGGAGATGGTTGCAGTATTTGTAGGGTATCTCTACAGGGTGGCTTTTATAAGTGATATTCTTATAAGCGTTAACAGAATATCTGGCATGAAGCCTTGTAGTGCCTATGAATCCACTGCATTCGTGCTGCATTTTCAAAAGTGTATTAGCTTTGATCACCTTTGTAGTTGTTTCATGTTGTCCGCATTTCATTGTGATGGGCAGCGGGCTAGATATGGTAATCAACCAAAAATTGGTTGCTAATTCCTGGATTTTATAATTCTGCAGAGCCACAATGGCTATTTTACATGTTGCTGGCAGATCGACCGGATTTCGCAACAGTTGTGCTTCGCAGACTGCATTGTTGTCTATTGGATATGGTAAGAGGTTAAAACAGATCTTAACCTGTGATTGGAGAATTTTGCAACTACCCAAATTTTGAAAGGAGACGTACAAAAGAGAATCGCTATCTTTGGCAACGTATCTCTGTAAGGTAGAAATTACATGAAATAGACCTGTACGTTCATCTAAAATGGGTAGAGGAATCGCCTTGTATAAGGTGTAAACTTCAGGTTCTAACAAGGGGATACGTAGGACGAAAACTACTTTTGTTTTTGTTTGAAATGCTTGAAGTTCCATTAAATTCAGATATTCTGATACTGTTGCCGAATTGACTGACATAGGTAAATTGTTTTTTGATAAGGAATGAGATACTTCTTGCAGAGAATTTACTAAATCTTGAGGAGTAATTATCGAAGGATGAATAATTTTCAAACGTGCAAAAGTAATGGAATTGAGAATATCGTTAATTGTCTCTTCTAGAAACATATAACTTTCCATTAGTTGTTCGCAAAGTTCCAAAAATTGAAATCTAGCTTCATAAAAGGCAAGATCATCTGAAATTTCATAAATTCTATTTTGAATAACCTTTATGTCTTCGTCTTCGTCAATTTGCAGTTTCTGAATAGTATTATTGAAGTTCTTAATAACCGACATGGTTACTGAGATCTGATTTTTCATCAGGTTTTCAAGCTCATGTTCGTCTTTGGAAATCTTCTTAATGCAGTCGTTATAATATTCACCATCAGATGAATCGAGGTTACCTGTTATTGCTTTCCAAATTGTACCTATGGCATTAATTAAGCCACGTTTCATTCGCGATGCGCTAATTGTATCGTCGAAAATCTCGTAATATTTGGTTTTCAAGGAACGGGAAATTTCGTAGAGAAGGCTTGTATGTGTCTTAATTTCGCTTCCAAATACTTTCATGCGATTAGTGGGTTCATTTACGAGATCGGTTAAGTGTTCCAGGATATTATTGTTATCGTCGAGCGCCTTTTTGATTAGTTCAAGATCTTTGCATACGAGTAGTGTCCAAACTTCGTTAGAAATTTTGAGAGGGCCATCTTCGTGGAAGTAAATACCTAATGTGTTGTTAATTGGTTTGATGTCAATCTGGGCCGTACAAACAGCCGCAAGAAACAGCAGACTGCACCTGGAATAGAAACTAAGTCTCAAAACACGGTTTCAGTCTGTCGAAATTGACTTTAGTTGTTCTGTTTGTTTCTGGATTTTTGAGCAATGCCGAATTTTCAAATACTTGAATGACCTCATATGGTCCATCGAATTTGTTTTGAAGCTTATTGGAAATTTGGGATTGTTTGACAAAGACGTTGTCACCAATTTTGTACGTTTGGAGGTTCGGTGATACTCTGTTATCGAAACAAACCTTAGCCTTTTGCTTTTGTTCGTCCGTTCTGGCACGGGCTAGTTTATAATAGTATTCGAGCTTATTCCGAATATCTCGAAGGTATTTAGACATCAATTCCTATTCAAGGTAGACGTGTTCTGGGGGGCGACCAGATGTATGTCCGAAGACAAGTTCGTAGGGAGTAAATCCTGTGGTTTTGTTCCTTGTGCTATTGTAGCACTGAACAGCATAGGGTAGGATATTAAAGGGGTGTTCGCTCGGATTTTCAGACACGTGCGTTCTAATCATTTCCAATAAAGTGGCATGGAATCGTTCGACCGATCCATTGGACTGAGGGTGACTAACGCTAGAAAATGTCATTTTGATGTCATAAAGACTACAGAGGTCTTTCATAAGATCATTGTCGAATTCTTTGCCATAGTCGCAATGTATTCGAAGGGGTGTACCGTAATGTTGGAAATAAAAAAGAAGTGTATTCACGACAGATTTAGCAGACTTGTCGTTAGTAGGATAGGCTTGGGAAAATTTCACCTCGGATTGTAAGAGCATAGCACTGAGGCGGGACTTCTAGAATGTCAATATTGATGCGTTCAAATGGAGCTTTTGGAGTTTCTGTAACAACCAAAGGGGTACTGAGGTTTTTTCGGCAGATTTTAGTTTTCTGGCAAATTTCACATTTCTTGATGAAATGTTCGACATCTTTAGTCAAACCGGGCTAATTGTATCGTTCACGGATACGTCTGATAGTTTCATTAATACCTCTGTGGATATTTTTCTGACCACAATGGTATTGGTCTAAAATGGTTGGAATTTCGTCAGGGCTAGGAGATTTAGTTACATTCTGACAAATGACAATTTTGATATTTTCGTCGGAAAATATGAAAGAAAATATTTCTTGGATGGGCAGATCTAGGTTATTTTCGACGTAGATTTGTTGGGACAAATCGAACATACCTTTGTTATTTAAAATAAGGGTGAAGAGATGTTGTACGCAAGTCGCAGGATCGTACGGCACGGGAATTATATAATATTTCCTATCTGTGACAGTCTGACTAGAAGCGATGTTAATTTTGTCTGCAGAAAATTCGAGATTGGTTTCGAATATGTCTTCAATGATTTTTTCATGAATACCAGAAAGGGTATTTTGTCTGAAAAATGCGACTATGTGTTTGTGGCTTTTGTCTAGAAGTTGGGAGTTAGAAAATTGAATTTTGGAATAGTCTATTAAAGAGGTGGTTTTATAAAGGCGGGCAAATACATCAAATTTATTTTCGAAAAATTGAGTAGAAGGGGAACCTTCTTCATCACTAGGGTTAAGGGCGTTAACATTCGTAGGTAGTTTAATGCGGGATAGGGCATCGGCGTTTTTGTTGGCTTTGCCTGGCTTGTAGACTATTTCATAATCGTATTCCTCTAACTTGAGGCGCCATCTTGCTAACCTACTACCGGTATCACGGCAAGAAAAAAGCCAAGTTAATGATCGGTGATCTGTGACCAATTTAAATTTTCGACCGTACAAATAGGGTCTAAAATGTTTTACACTCCAAACAATAGCTAGGAGTTCTCTTTCAATCGTAGAGTACCTCGTCTCTGCTTTGCACAGTGTACGAGATGCATAGGCTATTGGAAGATCTTTACCAATAGGTCCTTGGGAAAGTACGTCGGATATTGCAAAAGCACTTGCATCCGTAGTAAGCACAAACGGTTCTTCGAAGTTGGGGTAGATCAGTACAGGAGATGTTGTTAAAGCATTTTTCAAGGTATCGAATGACTTAACACGCTCGCTGTCGAAATCGAAGACTGCATCTTTTTGCAATAGTCTGGTCAAGGGTTTCGCAACTTTAGCAAAGTTTGGGATAAAGCGTCGGTAGTAACCGGCAAGACCTAAGAATGATTTTATTTCTTTAGGACTTTTGGGTTGTGTGAAATTTTTTATGCAATCCACTTTATCTGGATTGGGCTTAACGCCATCAGGGGTTATTACGTGCTCATGATAGGCTACTTCCTTTCTGAGGAATTCAAACTTATCTGGATGAATCATAAAATTCGAGTTTCGGAGACGTTTAAAAATTTCGGAAAGTCTGGTGATATGTTCTTGGATGGAAGGGGAATAGACAATGATATCGTCCATGTATACAAGACATCTTTCGTTTTGAATACCCATCAAGATGTTGTCCATAACACGTTGGAATGTGGCAGGAGCGTTCTTGAGACCAAAAGGCATTCTCAAGAATTGATAGTGTCCGTTTTCAACCGAAAAAGCGGTTTTGGCAACATCGGCTGGATTAATTTCAATTTGGTGAAATCCAGATGCCAAATCTAGTGTACTGAAGTACTGGCATTTCCCCAATTGATCTAGCAGTTCGGAAATGTTTGGCAACGGGTATTTGTCGTCAATGGTGATTTCGTTAAGTTTACGGTAATCAATCACCATACACCATTTTTGTTTGCCTGAAGCGTCCATTTTCTTTGGGACTACCCAGACAGGGGCATTCCAAGGTGAACTCGAGGGTTCAATAATCCCTTGTTTTAACAGTTTGGAAATTTGGTCTTTCACTTCTTGTTTGTGGATATGAGGGTAGCGATAAGACTTAGTAAAAATTGGTTTGTTGGTTGTAGTGTCAATGGAATGTTTAATTTCGTTGGTGAAAGACAAACTGTCACCATCTAAATAGAAAATGTCGGAAAATTCTAGATAAAGGTTGGTAATAAGTTCGTTCTCTTCATCGTTAAGATGTTCAAGACGTAATTGATCTCGAATAGCATCTCTACGGTTATACTGACTCTTGTTCTTCAGGGATATGTTAAAATTGTTGACAAACGCTTCATTAAAGGGTTTAAATTCTAATTTGGGCTGAATCACATTTTTAGGAACGGCATTACACTTCAAGACTGTAGTGAGAAATTCGCCGTTAGAATTGATTTTAACGATGGAGCTGGGTAGACGGACTTTTTCTACCTAGCATGCCAGAAGAATGGCTTCGGTATTTTTAAGCTCTGACTTAAGTTTGACAACCTGTTCAACTCTAGGAGGGACTGAGATGACATTTTGAACTTGAGAATTCTCTTTGAAATTAGAAGTTTGGAGATTTTCTTTGAAATCAGAAGTTTGGGTATTTTCTTCATCACCTACTTTGAAAAGAGGGATGGTTTTGAATTTTGTGATTAATTGACGATTTTTCAAATCGATAATGCAATCGTAGTGCTCGAGGTAATCTGAACCAAGAAGGCCATCGAAAGCAATGTCTAAATCGTGAATATAAATTTTGTGGTAATCGTTGGGAGCAAAGGGAACTAAAACTGCTTTCGTGTAATTTTGGCAGGTGTTTTGCTTGAAAATGGAACAACCGGCACCACTGTCAATGAGGATTTTGAATTTTCCTGTCGCGTCGTTGATGTAGTATAAGTTGTTTGGGCTGACGGAGAGAATTGTCGACGGGACTATAATATGCTTATCTAAACGAACATTTGGTCGGGAGTTGACGTTGTATGAGGGTCTTTGACATTGAGCTTTTGCAAGCTCGCAATCATATGATCGGACACCATTATTCACTAACGCGTTACCGACTGACACTGACTGTATACAACACGACTGAATAAAATAATTGTAAAAACATCGTTCCAAATTCTTTCGCTTTTTTGTTTCCGATGCGATGAACCGATGGCGGATTATATCCGTTGTTGCCAAACACGAGCACATAATATTATCATTGAGACAGGGCGGTACTCAAACTTCCAAAGGGCTATAACTTTGCTACTTTAATTTTACCAGAAAAATGGTAAAGGAAAAAAACATTTCTTTTGATCAGATCTACTCACTGTTAAAATAAATGACTCAACTTCGAAGTCACCCTGAATATATATATTAGGGATCGAGCGATGCCGATATGTATATCGGCAAGAATAAAAATTGTTGAATTGGACAAAACAATATTTAAATATACCAGAAATTAAAAGATAATCCTGCAGCTGAAAATAGGTTACGGCATGTTGTCTGTCTGACGAGGAAAAAAATAGACAATACGGTTCCCTTTAGATGTTAAAGTACTATTTCTCGCAGTTTTGATCCATAATCAGTGCACATGCTGCACTTTAGACGAAGAATGCATAACAATTAACCGGTGTGCTACGACAGTTTTGGGTTGATTTTTGCGTTTTATGGAGGACTCTTGGCGTTTTCGTGACGATGGACGAGGGTGACGACAGATAAGCTTATGCTGGCTTGTCGCTTTGGACGGTTGGAGGTCCTTTTGAGAACGGGAATGCCTACCCCGGGCAGTTCTGGGTCTTGCAGATTTTGCAATGGTGACTTAGCTCAATATCATCATGTTACCTGACCTTTGAGACTATTGTAGTAACACACTGTAGGTATAGGAATATGAAAATAAAAGGAAAAATAAGTGTCATCCGGAATTGAACTTGAAGAAGGTCACCGTTGGAATCTGGGAATCTGTCTATAGTATGACTGAAAAACCGTAAACATTAGACACTAGATAAATATTTTGGTAAATTCGTGGAAATTATATCAAAAATACTCGTAAATGCCTTGCTGATAGACCAAATGGTTGCAATTAAGAAATATTTCAAGCGTGTGTTTTATAAATCATAGATAATTGTGTTACCCTTTGAATTCTGAGCTATTCGGGACAAAATGATTTTGTGAGCGAGTGAAGGTGAATTTCCTCAAATCCGTAGGCACTTCTTACGAACCACAGCAAAATTGAAGAAGATTGGTCATCTAGGTTTTAAGAATTATATTTCTTCGAAAATAAACTGTATTACGTGACCTACCTATTTGACAAATTCATGCAGTCATCAATAATGTAGCCATTTAGCACATGCTACATACCAACTAGGCTGACATTTTGAAACATAATTATTTTGTCTTCAGTTTGAGTGCTAACTTTATAAAAAAATTATTTCATATTGAAATGCACGTGAACTTTAAGGCTCATCTGTCACCGAGTAAAAATTTCAGCTCTAAATATGTATACATAAGAGTATGAAAAAAACTTTGAAAAAAAAAATGTTTTCTTCTCAACAAAAGGTCATAGACACATCGGCTTTGTTTTAAAATGTATATAATAACGTATGTTTTTTGAATATCGTAGCGCATCTGTTCAGTTACTCACAAATACGAAATGTTTGAATTTGTTCAGAAGAAAAAACGTAACCCTTTGTTTTTCGCATAAAAATAACATTTATCGGCAAAGGTAAACTCGTGTATGTTGCTATGAAATGCTCTTTGCTCACTAAACTGGTAGTGATGGCAGGAAAACAGGTGTTTTGGGATAAACAATCAGAAATTCTCATAAACTACTTAACCAATCTAATCCAATTTTGTTCTGATTATTAAGAAGTATGAAGCCTACGGATTTGAAGAATTTGCGTGAAATTATCGTCGCATTACCAACAAGTATCAAAACCTGCATTTTGCCTAGGTTGGCCTAGTTTGGCCATAACTTTTTGCTGTTAGTCGGATCCTTTAGGTTTTTTGGATTATATATAAATAATAGGATAAGTGATGGTATGAAATGGGAAGTTCAACAAAAAAAAAGAAACATGTGCTAATTAAACAAGTTTTTTGAACGGTTTTCTTAATGTTGGCTGTCCTAACGGGTCTACTCGTCTATTTCGCGGGTGTTTGATAGTGTTGCTCACGAAATAAAATGGAGTGTGAATAGTAAGTTTGATTAGGATATCTCCTGTTCTTTTTGCATATTCGCTGAGCACTTCTATGAACTTAGTTTCGAACTTATTCAGTTAAATATTACTAAGAATTCAGAGGAACTTCACTCTTGCTAGTTACTTGTTTGGCAGAGTAACTTAAAAAATCAATCGATGTTTTGGAGGACTCCGGGTGACATTTCTTTTCTTTTTACCCCTTTCACAGTCCTACACAGTATGTCACTACAATAAGCTGAACGTTATTGTAGCATCTGAGATTGCGCGAAGCCATGATGGCAATTTTCATTTTTGAGTAATAATTTTAGTATCCACAATAACTTGTCTAAGCAAAAATGATCTTAGTGTGCTTCATTCTTAGAGGAACCTTTTCATCCTTAAGGTGTCAAATAGATAGGTTACCTTCAATTTCTCCCTCTCTCAAACCGGCGGCACTACTAGAGATATGTATATATCTCCCTGCTAATTAACAGTCTTCGCTACTCGAGCCTCAAAACTGATAATAAAATGAATTTCAAGCTCACCACGGGAATTTTCGATCTAATTCAGATTTGACTTTTTGGACAAATCAGGCTGATAGGCCTAATTATCTGAGTAATTAGCGAATTAGGAATTGATAATTGATACAGCAACGACGAATCAGCTACATATGTTGTACTCCTATAATTACCAGTTAAAACCGTACACGCTTTGAAACCATATTGTTACACCGATTTATTTAAAACGATTTAAATAAGCTGGTATCAGGTACAATAGCGCCACACTAGAGATGAGCAAAAACTCGCGAACTGCGATTTACTCGCAGCGATTATACAATCGCAATCGCAACCTGCGAGCCCGTTCCGTAGCAAACTGGTTGCGAGCTGGTGGGTTCGCGTGAGCCGGCAGGCTTATTACGTAAAAATTTCCAACTCTGATCGGTGAGCAACCGACCACCAACCGACTTGCGACCGATTGTCGACCGACTGAAAAATTCGTATTCGCTAACGCAGTTGGCAACCGGTTGCCCAACTGTCATTGAATGCAATTTGAATGCAGTTTTTGCGACCGAAACAGCGCCGCTAGCAATCGAGTAGCAACTGGTGGAACTAAAGTGACATACATATGATGATAAACAATCGTTGTGTTTATAAATCGAAAAATAAATAAATACATTGTGGGTCGTGATTGTGAATTTAAAATTAACTATGGGACCTAGTTTTGTTGAAAATTCAACGCGTAAGTATATAATACGATGGTCTGTTCTTAAAAATGAATGTCTGTGTGAGCCGCAGATGTATGGATGTTTACATAAGTCAAGAGTGGACCCTTGATATATACACACAGTCATTTGTCGACAAATAGATGACACAGTTTCACATAGATTAGCCTTGAAGACTTATCTCAAGACAGAAAGAGCGCTGCAAGATAACGCGAGGGTGAAAACAGCTTATTGACAAGTGCCAGATGTTTCTCTAAATCTAAATCAATCAGCACTTGCTGGCACTTATAGTGGATACCAAATAAAACCCGATGCACGTCATCGATCTTTAGCTGTGCGCTGTTGCCAGAATTGATATGAGCTCTTTACACCGACTGTTAAGTTGTTTTGGCATTTTGGATACTTTATACCACTTCACAGTAACTTTTGTTCTGAAAAGAACAACTTTTAATTGGCAAGGCAACGATTCAAAGCTCAAATAGCGCAAAACTCACAAACTAAACAATAAAGAACTAATAGTACGACAAAAGGACAATGGCAACTGATGTCAACAAATGAGAAGTGGCAACCTCACATTTCTCTGCACGGCACTACCAACCGAATCGAGACGGGGAAATTTTAACTTCAAGTAGAAATGTCACATTGAATGTAGTCAACTGTTGGTAACCATGATTTTTATGAATGACATCACCTATGACGTGCATCGGATTTTATTTGGTATCCACTATACCTATATAGTTCATCTAGCAGTCATCTAGACTGCATGTTCAGTAAAGGCTGCAAATGCATCAGAAAACGTGAACATAGTGTTTGTTTGTGTTTGAGATTTTGTCTGACTAGGTGGTTGTGTTAATTTTCAAAATGAAACACAATCTCAACACTGCAAATCGATGAGGTACTGGTCTTTGCAGAAATTAATCCTAATTTAGCTAAGGACAGTGTTGGGCTTGGAGGGAGATCAAATGAGACAATTAATAGAAAGTGGGTCGAATTAGCGATATGTCTGAATACTCATGGATCTGGAGCTACAAAAAATGGACAATGCTGGAGAAGGGTGAGTTTATGTTACATTTCGTTATTCATCCTTTTTTCATCGCTAATTCATAATTTTTATAATTGTGCTGAATCTTATTTTTCATTATAAGATTACAACCTTTTGCTATGGTCATTATTCTGTTGTATCCCTCTTTTCATTAGATAAATTCAAAAAAGTTGTAGAACTTATCATAGAAGAAAAAATGCAATGTTGATTAATAGAAAATTATATTTAACAGTGTAATAGCACAATTGTTCCCAAAGACTACCTTTTCACAATATTTTATCCAAAACTTTTTTTTATTTAAGTAACTTGAGAAACGATGACGTTTATCCATTTTTTCAGTAATTCAATTCTTATTAGACGAGACTTTATATGAAACGCTTTTGTACTCTACGGGTAGAAAATAGTTTGTTTGATTCAATGTGTTTGTATTTTTCCAAATAGTTACTACCATCTTTTAATATTTGCCAACATAGTTTACTCAGATTCCATGGGTCATTTTCTTGGATTAGTACTGTAGGTTATAATAAGGCATTTTGTTCGATATGATTTTATTCATGTACTAATACAATAATACTTTTTTACAGTATTGGATAGACCTTAAACATAGGATACAATCTAGAGCTGCACAATATAGGCAGGATGCTACAGGTACTGGTGGAGGGTGCTAATGTTGATAACTTATCAGAATTAGATGTGGCCATATTGGGAACAGCAGCAGTATTTGGAGATACTGAACTTCAAATTCCATTTAGTGTAAGTACATAACTCCTGGATAAATTTAAATGGGATTAATTTTAATTAATGAAAAATCAGTTTATTTTCTCTATCTCTATTGCCCACTTAGTTAAACCACATTTAATTTGATTTTACTTCCTGGCACTCCACATCGTCTTCTAACACTTGATCACAAGTACAAAGTTCTGCTTCAAATGGAAAAAAATACAAATTATTTTAATTTTTCACTAGTGATGATCTTGTTTTAGAATGAAAAATTGCATATGAATTCAGTTTCTACTTGGTATTGCTTCATAACTTCAGATATTAATTAAAAGCTTTTTGATTTTCAGAACCAACTCCTTCATCTTCAGCTGTTGATATAGAATTCCAAATAGCTAGGCAGGGTGCACGAAAGTTGTATGCAGGCAGAAACAGCATTAATGCAACTTCAAAAATTTCACAAGAAATTTGGTCAAGCATCTAAAAACAGAGATGTAAAGTATTTTCATGATTATTGTTTTCTTGTGTGACCTAATCTTTGTCATTTTAATAAAAGATATTTACACAAATCAATTTACTATATCATTCCTATCGCTGTTGTGTAAGAGTGCCCTTTTTGTATTAAAACTACTCTTAAATCATTTCATAAAAATCACTGACTTATTTTTTGTAATGGCACCTCCAATCCATAAATCATTTATAACTCTTTAATACAGTAAAAAGTTTGTCTCTCAACATATTTTTAAGAGAAAAAGATTTTTTTTATTGTATTTAAAATAATTGCTTTACAAATTGACGAAAATGAAATAGGAGTGTCATTAAAAAAATTGTATTTGTAGAAATGCATTTGATACATTTTCTAAAGAGAATTGGTCCCCATTAGAAATACATTTAGCGATTAGTACTAATCTTCACAAGCGGCGAAGTTCTAGGCTATTTGAGTGATTGTGGAACACAGAGTTTTTTTTGAAATTTTTACGATTGTATTTAGTACCATTAATGCTTAAATTGATAAAAAAGTTGTGGATTATATTACAAAAATAAGGTCAGCAGTTTTATAACTGTATTTTAAAAAGGCAGTGCTTTTTGTTACAAATGCATTTTGCAACTTTTCTTGATCTTCACTCAAAGCATACTTTTAGGCTTGTTCCAAATCTTCTAAAATAGCTATTATTGAATATGGACATGTGAAAATAAACCTTCCTAGAAAACTAATTCTATAACCATTAACATTTCTTTAGAGTGATTGATAAAACCTTTTTAAAGCAGAGCTACCATTAAGCATAGGCATATGACAATGAACATTATTTCATGGAAATTTAAAATGTTTGATACAGTAGATAATACAAACTTTAATACTCCTGTGCATCACTCTATGGTATTTCTGGTAAGACCGATTCTTAATGGATGTCCAGAGTCACCTGTAAAAATATATCTTTCATTATTACTCATCTTCAAGCAGGGATATATAACAATAATTACAACTAAAGTAAAAAAAAAACAAAGTAAATATTAGTGCTGAAATCGGTATGTTGCCTAAAATATGTGAAATACTATATTAAGACTCGGATTTGTTGCTGTATTGTTAATCTTCAGATAATCAGTCTGAGGTATTGATCTTAGGATCGATGAATATTGACTTATTACTCTTGTTAATAGGAAATTTCAACTTCCACAGCGATGGAATTTTCATCAGGTAATGTAAACTTCCATGTGTTAGAACTTTTTGATGTAGCTGAACTCATTGGTTTCTCAGTTAATGATCCATCATTTAATTTTGATGTGCAATCTCACTTGCTTAATATGCATGGTAATATAATTACTATAATCTCTAACAGTGTTTGAGGGAAGTAAATATGCTTAGAATGTCTGGATGATTTAATGCATCCACCATTTCCCTTAGTGCTTTGGATACACTAGGTTGACTGAGCCCATGTAAATAAGCCATGCCAATATGTTTCTGGCAGGAACCAGCGGCTAGCACCAGAAGTGCTGCTAATACCTAAAACCAATATGTTTCTATACTGTGGTAGAAAGGTGCAAGTAAGCTTATTTGATAATCATTATGAACTTCAAGTCATAGATACTGAAAAATGCGTCGTAGGTGAGAAGTTTGCCGTCTTTGATCGTGCATTCTTTCGCTTTCCAATGCTTCCATAAGTAAAAATACACGAGCCATCCAGGGAATCAAAATTGCTGAAAATACAAATTGGGAGCATACAATCACTTCTTAGACTCGTTAAGCTATTTTATTCCTTATTTGAACTTACCTTTCTTGTTAAAAAAATGAACAGTTTTGACAATGTTATCCAAACAAAACACTACCAACCGACTAGCCACCGACTAGTCGACTACCACAGAGCAGTTGTTAATTTGACAGTTCAAATCGCTAGTAAGTTGCTGTTCGGTCGCTGTCAATGAGCTAGGGAATACCGATTTTTTGATAGTCCTAACAAAAGAATGCACTTTTCGTTCACCAGTTGCTCCATAGAGGCGCCACCGTAGCCGCTCGCCGCTCGGCGATTGAGATGCACTGACTCACTGACTGATACATAATACGAAATTTGCGTTTGACAGCAACTATCGACCAACTCGAGTCGGTTGACGGTCGGTTGGAAGTTAGGTAATAAGCCTGCGGTAGGCATGCAACCAACCGTTCAATCGCGGCAATCGCTTTGGAAGTGACACATGCGGGTGGCGATTAGCGGTTAAAAACGAGCGGATGGCGTTGCTTTTATATGGTTGTGAGTTGTAACTGTTGCGAGCTGCGAATGCGAATTGTTAGGATTGGTATTGGTGGTTTCTAGTTTAAATCTCTAGGTTGTTTTTTTGTTTGACTAGCCAGTATTATTTTATTCAGTTTCAACAAAGTTTAAAAAGAGGAAAATGAGTTATTTGTGGAATTTTTTTCGGAAATCGAAAATTTCGCAAAATGTAATATGTGTGCAGCCAAAATATCATATAAGACTAGTACCACGAATTTGAGAAGACACATGGAGTCAAAACACACAGCTGTGTCATTAAATCCCGAATGTGCCTCGGTAAGTATTTTAACGTATTAGTCCAAGAGCTGGTAGACATTTTCGTAACGTATTTGAGGCACTATGAAAACTTGTCTACTGCTTGTCCTTCTTCTATTATTTTCGAATACAAAAGTACACAACTGGCTGAAGGTCGATGGGCCATTGGCGTCCCATGGGTTATAAAAGGTATTTAAAAAAACGAAAAAACATATTTGAGGCATTTTGAGATTTTCATAAACTAATATTTATGATTAAAAAATAATATATTTACAATAAGTTCATTCTGGTGGGACGTCTTACCTGTCAGGTGATCGAGAATATTTAACTTGTACTCCAGGTAATGGGAAATTATCTCGTAAAGTGTTGACCGTACGGTAGTTCTAAACAAAAATGGTTCCTATTACTTTTTTACGTAAGATGCAGTAGACAAGTTTTCATAGTGCCTCAAATACGTTGCCAAAATGTCTATCAGCTCTCCTACTATATGTACCAAAAATTTAAACATAATATTATATCCATTTTATACATATAAATCTTAGTAATGAAGACACAAATAGTGTAATTTAATATGATTGTAGGTCACTTTATCAAGGCAAGCCCCACCTGTGACAAGTATCTAGTCAGGGGCATCAATAAGTTCAGGACAACCAATCAAGCAAGTGGGAGATTCAAGAGAAACGGAGATAAAAGAGATTAGTGTTGATAAAATGCCACTGAATTCTGTGAGTTTAAGAAAAATCGAAACAGTGCGGAAAACTAAACATTTTCAAACAGATATGGATGTTTATATTCCCAAGAGAGTAACTCCTAAATGTAAACAAAAAATTCATGATAAATTACTACGATTGTTTACCGACACCTACCAATCATTTATAATTGTCGAAGAACGTGCCTTTAGATACTTTGTTTTTGCTTTGAATCCTTCATATCAGCTTCCAAGTAGACATACCATCTCCAGAACCATGTTACCAGCTATGTATGAGAAAGATCTTATCGAGTTTTAAAAAAGGCAAATAAAGTTTGTATTACAACTGATTGTTGGACATCCATTAATACAGAGAGTTTTATGACTGTGACCGCTCATTTCCTAAACGATGGTTTCCAGATGGTTTCACTTTTACTAGAATGTTTCACTTTGGCTGTTCAACACACAGCAACTAATCTAGCAGAAGAGCCAAGAAGAGTTGTTACAGAATGGAAAATCCAAAATAATCTTTTGATAGTAGTTTCAGACAATGCGGCAAATACAAAAGCTGCCATAAATGAATTACGCTGGAAACAGTACGGTTGCTTTGCACATACGATTAATTTAGTGGTAAATGATGGATTGAAAGAAGATCAGATCAGCGCAGCTATCGGACGAGTGAAACATATTGTAAAACGTTTCAAACGGAGTCACATAGCAACGGCAAAATTAATATCATACCAACAGAATCAAATAAAGCAAACCCCTCTAAAACTACTGCAAGACGTATCCACTCGGTGGAATTCTACGTACTACATGTTGGAAAGATTAATTATTTTGGAGGAAGCTGTTAAAGCTGCTGTGTCAATAATTAATATGGATTTGAAACATCACTTCACAGTCCAGGAGTGGGTAATTATTAAGCAACTAACACAAGTGCTCAAACCGTTCGAGAGTGTTACCAAAAAGATTTCTGGGGAAGAATACTTAACTGCATCTCTCGTAATTCCCCTTGTGAATGGTCTAAATTCAGCTTTTAAAAAATTTGAAGGCATGCAATATACTGAGTGTATCAAACGAGTACTTCATAATTTAAAAAAATCCTTGAACGACAGACTAGGAAATTCTGAAAACAGCAATACACTCTCATTAGCAACTTTCCCCAACCCGCGTTTCAAAGAAATACCGGTTAAGGAAAAAAATGCTGAAATAGCAAAAAAAATATGTTATTTAATTTAATGAAAAGTTTTGCAGTGTTGACAAGAGTATTCCAAATGCATCAAATCAGAAAAATGAAAATTCCGACGAAGACGATTTTTGGGAGGATTTTGATAAACAAGCTGAACGATATCAACCAGGCACTGTGGGAACTTCTACAACTAAGGCTATATTACAAGTTCAACGGTTTTTAGATTGTGGACTATTGCCTCGTAATGAAGATGTGCTGAAATAAATATTTGTTTCCGCACCTTGCTTGTGTTGCGCAGGAGAGACTTAGAGTATGCGTAACGTCCGTTCCCTGTGAAAGACTATTTTCTAAGGCAGGGCAAATATTGACGAAATCGTCTAGATAGCGAAAAAGTCAAAATGCTTTTATTTTTAAATACCAACGTAAAACAGGTGCACCATAATGATAAGTGACAATTTTAATTTGAGTTACCTATTTTAAATATCAAACATTTTAATTTATAGATTTACGTGGTTCCTTTTAAAATGTACCAGAAAAGATTTAAGTCAAGTTTGTTTTTATTTCAGCAGAAATATTTTTTTTTTGTTTTTCAGAAATATATATTTGTTTTTGTTTTTCAGGAATATGTTTTATAAATATTATTAAAGTTAATAAGTGAGATAAACCAAATTTTGTAAGTCTGGAAAAACATTTCCTGTGATGATTTGGTTATAGTTTTTTTATTTAAAAGAATTTATTGTTATTGTTTTACAGAAATATGTTTTATAAACATAGGTAGTAAGTCAAATAAACCAACCTTGTTAAGTTCTTGAAAAGAAATGTTTGCAGTTTAACATATTACCTGTAGGGTTTAGTTTTTGCATTCTTCTAATTAAAATTATAATTATAAGAGACATTTGTTTTCATTGTTAATAAAATCTACAAATTTGGAATTATAAGATTTAAAAAAAAGGTATTATAACATTTATAACACAAATACAATGTTATTTCATTTTTTGTGATAACAGTTGTTAACACATAACAGTTAAATATGACCAATTTAATGTAATTAACCTTTTATAGAAGGGAAATTACGAAATAACACAGTCCCACAATTTCTAATCGCAATCACAGGTTGCACTCGCAGTGAAAGGTAAATCGCAATCGCAGTTTTAACTGCGATCACAAAATCGCAACTTTGATCATCGCTGCGCCACACATTATATCACACAACCTTAAAAGTGATCCGCCCGGTTGTAATACCTGATGAAAAAAGAACAAGATCACCTTCAACGTTTGCTAGCCAACGTTGTTGACCTTGTTCCGATGTGTGGAAGAAACCGGGGAAGTACAGAGCAGCGCACAGCTGTTCACCTCACTTAGGTTTCTATCTAGAGGTGGGACGTACACCTGCGTTGGTTTCAATAACAACATAAAGAAAACAAACGATATAGCTGGTGTTTGAGAAAAAGGAATACCAAAGTGTTTCTGATAAGCAAGTAAGCTTCAAAAATTTAATTATTGGTTTGGAAGGGTCCTATACAGGGTGTCAAAGTAACAATTTTATTTTCTATTTTTTCTTATTGCTTGAGAATTATTTCAGATTTTGGCATAAATCTCGGTGCAGGGAGGTTTTCTAGTATGGGAAACAAAAACCCGTTATTTTTTATGGCCAAACTTCTAGAGGGCGCCACTTACAGCACTATTTCGGTAAATAACTCACCATAACTTTTTCGTGCTACCCTGTATACAACAACTGACCGAAAAATATTATTTTCTCGTATTTCCACAACAAAAAAGGTTGTTAGAAGTGTCTAAAGCTTTTCGAGATATTTGTGTTTAAAAGTTCCAATGCGTTATTTGTTCCATGATGATGAAACATTTTTATTACATAATAATCAAGTTGTTTTGGATAATATCTGAGTAGCAGTTAAACTTAATTATGTTTAACTCTTACGGTTAGATAACTATGATCCTCTCCATCATCTCTCATCAAATGAATCCTCATTTTTCCAATTTTGTCCGTCATAAGTATTTTTTATCAAATTCTCACAGCCTTAAAGGTGCGCGGGAAAATGTTTTTTATTATATTCCTGTCCGAATATCTGAATTTTTAATAAACTACCTTAATTACGGAAAACATGAGGCTAAATTTTGCCATAATGCACTACGGACATACAGTGCTACCAAGCCGAAAAATGCTGAATCACTATTTTATTTATATTTTCGTTAAGCTCAACGTATTATCTTATTTCCACGCCATCATCGATGCGCTTTCAAGTTGAACAGGGTTGCCAGATGTGGTGATTTTTCACCAAATCTGGTGTTTTTTACCCGTGTTCATCAATTACATATTTGCAAAAAGTCTTTATACTATTAAATTTATCAAAGAGATTCGAAAGTCATAAATGTTAGTGGTGACCCCCATGACCCCCATTGGATCCGCGCTTGGTTGAAAGGTATGTAAAGTAATTACTCATCTATTATAGTCATAGCAAATTTTAGCTTTGGGGCATTATATAGTTCGCTAAAACATAGGTACCCCTTATTAGATCAATTGGACAAGGATACGTCTCACGTATTTACGTTATTGCTCATATGAAAGCTCGAACAAAATCTTATAAATTAAGTGAGAAGTTTTATAAAGTTGTAGTGGTTCAGTGAGGTGCGCGGCAACTCGGCAACAGCGGACGAAATTGTGGTAGATCGAGCGAGGGGAGGGGGCAGTTGCCCTTCGCCGCCGAGAGAGGCAACAGGTGACGTGACCATCTTCCGGATTTAAGGATTACCTGGTTCCATGTTTTTTAGTTAGTGAATTATTTTGTGCCTTACTACCATTAAAGTTTGTTAGCCATATCGCCGTCGTTATTACTGAAACCCACGAAAAACCCTGAGTAATATTGTAAAGCTCGGATCCACTTCGTTTGGCGCCCAACTCGTGGAAGTAAGCGCGATACGGTTGCAAGGTGTTAGATAGAGAAGGTACGAGACGCGACGAAAACGGTATGCGTAAGTGGACGGTTGATTTTGGCGGCACGACGTGGGTAGAAACAGGCGTTGAGGCGTTGCTGTGTTCAAGCGGCATGAGCCAGGCGGTGTTGTCGGTTGCAAGAGGAGTAAGCAGATCTGGGTGAGGAGTCATTTTCATTTTTGGAAAGCTGAGGGTGTGTATTAGGGTGGAGCGTTTATGTATGGATTAATTTTTTTTTCCAAATATTGAATTGTAATAGGGAGCAATTGGTGCAGTATATTATAGTAAAAATATATGTAATTTCTCAATTAATTTTTCCAACATCTTCTGCCTCCGCACTGACCCCACAAAATCTAAATTTTAACTAAAAAATATTAGTACACATTTTACCAACTATTGAGCTTAGTTTAATGATATATGGGTGATGAATCACTTGCAAAATTAATCTAAGATATTTATTGAAGAACTACAATTAAAAATACGGTAACATTTTAAGAACAATAGTAAGAAAATATATACATATTTATATATTACTTTCCTTTAAAATTTCTTTTTGTCTCAAATTTAGGCATTATATTCCGAGATTCCAGTTTGGCTTTTATTGCACCCAATCGTGCCTTTTCCGTACATTGGGACGTGGCTGCCTCTGTCGTCACTTTCACAGCTCGTTCTACAGCTTGTGTGTGACACGGAAGCTTCAAAAAGGTCAATTGATTCTCATCCCCAGTTTCGACGACGCGCCAAATTTCTTGGTCAGAAAAGATTTTTAAAATAGGGGGTTCCGTTATTTTTTCCTGCCAATTTATTAAATCAACGTATGTAGAAGCATTAAAATTAATGCAAGGCAACTCAAATAATCTAATTGTTGATGTTTGCTGCGTGCTACGTGCTTTCAATACACGCCTGGCTGCCAGTTCTCGAATATGTTTCTTGGCATCAGTTAACATTGCAAGAAGCGTGTTCTCCGGATGTGCAAAGTAGCTATTCCGTTGAATGACAGGATCGATTATCTTTTTAAGATCTTCTGACAGGTATCTGGAGGCAGAAATTATAAAGAAAAGATGTCGCGTTCCATCCTTGCAGAAGGGTTTGTTTTTAATAAGGAACCAAGATGGTGCGTAAACTTTAACAACAAATTTTGCCAGAGTTAGCAGTTTCTCTGATGGTGTTTCGGTTGCTACATACAAACGCAATATTCTATTGGCACGTGTGAGCCAACGGGCATGTGAAAGTTTGCCGGGAGATTTATTTGACAGATCCTCTGGAAAAATACCTGTAAGAACCGCTGTGACAATATTATTGAAGTACTGTTGATCTGTACTCAAATCTTTGGCCATTTCTGGAAGCATTTCTCCTTCAATAGGTTGAAATTTTCTAATAGGTAGTTGTTCACAGGTCTCTAGTGCTTTTCCTAAAGGTCCAGAGAAAGACTTAGGTCCCGAAGTACACCCATCAAGATGAAGAAACAAGTGTCTCAAAGGCAGTTCATTCATGTGCAGCAAACACACTATCCACTGGAGTGGTTTTTGTAGTTTTCTCTCGAACAGTCTTATTATACCTCCATTCTTTCCAGTATTAACATTTGTGCCATCGCAACCGATTGCAATAAGTTCATGAAGAAGTATTTGTTCACGTGTTAGAAACTCTGCTATGGAGATTTCTATTCCTTTTGCTGTCCCAACATTAGGCACCACGTATCCAAGATAAATTGATCCAGGCTCTTGAATTAGTGAGATATGTTCCTCGACAGTCAAAGTCCTGTAGCATTTGCCATTCTTTTTAACGATCTTTAACGTTTTGTCTTTCCTCC